GTGGGATCATATGCAGTCATGTGCAAGGTCAAGTACCTTACCTTCTGTACTATCTCTCCAGCCCCACGTTTTTGTTTTTGGACACACAGCTGGGTTCAGGGGTTATGTTTTTGGCCCTATGCACTGGATTCACTCCTGACAGTTCACTCCTCAAGCAAGCATATTCAGTGCCAGAGACCAAACCCAGATCTCCTCATACACCTGACTGAGCTGTCTGGGGAAGTGGGGGATTTGGGAGAAATGCACCTGCGATGGATCCCAGGGTGCACTGGGAACCACATGCAAATTAGATTAGATGCATGTACGGCAAGTGCCCTAACTGCCATGCTATCTCCGTGAGCCCTGAAGAAACACAACACATTAAAATAAACTTATTACTGTTTACTGTCCTCCTATTGTTCATCGATTTGCTCGAGCGGGGCCCAGTAACATCTCCATTTTGAGACTTGTTTGTTACTTGTTTGGCATATCGAATACGTCACGGGTAGCTTGCCAGCTTTACAATACTGAGTTTCATATATACATTGTTGTAACATGACACCCACCACCATAGTGCCCTCTGCCCCCCACCAATGTCCCAAAGGACTCTCCCACCCAAGCTCTGCCCCCCGCCCCATAAACTCTGTTTGTAGACCAATTTTCCTATTCTGTTGCTTTTGGCCAATATGTATAATTTTAAAAATCAAATGCTAAAAGACACATTTATTTACTTTTAACTGAATTTCTTACCAGCTTGCTAGAGTACACAGTTTCTTATAAAGGAATTTATAGCATGTTACACAGGGTTGGAATGATAGTGCAGCAGGCAAGGCCTTGCACAGAGCTGACTGGGCTTCAATCCCTGGCACCGGGTATAGTCCCCAAGCACCGCCAGGAGTGAAAACTGAATGTAGAGTCAGGTATAAACTCTGAGCACTTTTTCATGGAAGGGAAATGTACAATTTTGTTTTACTTTTTAAATTTCTATTCTCCCTGCTTCTCATTTTTGTCACAGTACCACAGGGTACCTAACTCTCCCCCACGCCCTCCCCCAAAAAACAGGAATAGCTCTCAAAACTGGATGGATATTTGAATCACCTTAGAATATTTAAGATACTGATATGAATAATAAAATTACTAACACTGACAAGGGCTGGAGCGATAGCACAGTGGGTAGGGCGTTTGCCTTGCACGCAGCCAACATGGCCAACCCGAATTCGATTCCTCTGCCCCTCTCGGAGAACCCGGCAAGCTACCTAGAGTATCTCGCCCGCACGGCAGAGCCTGGCAAGCTCCCCGTGACGTATTTGATATGCCAAACACAGTAACAAGTCTCACAATGTTACTGGGCCCGCTCGAGCAAATCGATGAACAACGGGGAGGACAGTGACAGGGACAGTGAACACTGACAAAAGCTAATGCCTGGGATTCCCCTCCCACGATACTGATTTAACTGGTCTGGTACAGGTCTGTTTGGGGCTTGTTTTGTTTATAAAGATTTTTGTGTGATTATAACATGCAGCTGGGAGGTGAAAAACACTGACCTAGAGGGCTTATATAAGCTGCTTAAAAAGATAAGCTTCAGTAACCTGGAAAATTACAATCTGGACAATAATAGAAAATGAATAAAAATTATTTGAATGTATGTTAACGTGAGATATAATGCATCACCTTCTTTTAACAATGACTTGGAATGCCCTTTCTATGATACAAATATAGTATTGTATAAGCAAGTTTTCTCCTCTATAAATGAAATACTGAAGTTCGATTTTTTTTTAAGTGCCCCACATAGATTTTTGTAATTTGCTAAAATGTGCGTGAGCTCAGGGGTCAGGAGCTAATAAAAAAGGCTGGAGCCTATGCTCTGCATGCACTGGGCCTGGAGTCTGACTGAGTCCCAGCGCCTGTGGCCTGCCCCTTGCATGGCCTGGAGGCGCCCAGCAGTGCCACATTCCTCAAGCACAGCACTGAAACATCAGGCCACACAGTCAAGCCAAGATGGGCGCTGCCCCACCCCCACCCCACCAGCCCCCATATAAATACAAAAAATAGGGCATAAGGTCAATTTATGGGGGAAAAGCAGTGATTACAGCTATCTAGATAAGATCACGTTCACAAATAAGGAAACCTGGGTTCTTGTGCTCAGACTAGACTTGTCTAGACCCCGAATATTACATTCATGGGGTTTAAGGTCTTAAAAGGCAAAGTTTAACAACAAAAGTAGTTAAAATTTTGGTTACGGTCTTTTCTGATAATAAGTGCATTATTACAAGCAAAAGGAATAATAGAGGAAGGGCTGGTGATATAGCTCAGTGGTAGACCACAGGTCTTTAGTGTGTGTGGTCTTCCCACGGGTTTGAGCCCAAGCACTGAAAAAAAAAAGTTGTAGTAAGAGGCTGGAAAGAAGGATCCAAGGGTTGTGCTCTGCATGGGGGAGCCTGAGCACAGCTGCTGGCACCACGTGATCCTCTGAATCCCACTGGGATTGACAACCCCTCACACCCTCCAGCTCAGAGCCAGGCTGCAGAGTACTGTCCAAAAACAAAAGAAAAACCAAAAAGAAAAAATAAAAAGGAATAATAAGAAAAAGAAAAAAGAATAGAGAAACAAATACTGGGGGGCGGGGGGGGAGAGAATGAAAAGGAAACAATAGAAAAGCACTAATTTGAAAGTTTCTATAATAACTTCATAAAGGAAGCTTAAGAAACCAAACTATCAAAGCACACACAAAAATATTTCCTATGGGAAATAAACAATTTATAGATGTGCCTGTCCAGTAAAACACCCTTGGTATGCAAAAGACAGTCTTTCTGTAATTAGAGGAAACGGATTTTCTAGAATACACAATATTCAAAACTTGCTGATATAATATAAATGTACATTTTACTTTGGGCTAGAGCGATAGCACACTGAGTAGGGCGTTTGCCTTGCACGCGGCTGACCCGGGTTCAATTCCTTTGTCCCTCTCAGAGAGCCCTGTAAGCTACCAAGAGTATCTCACCTGCGCCACAAAGCCTGGCAAACTCCCCATGACGTACTCGATATGCCATAAACAACAACAACAAGTCTCACAATTTGTTGTGAGATGTTACTGGTGCCCACTCCAGCAAATTGATGAACAATGGGAGGACAGTGCTACAGTGCATACATTTTACTTTATATCCCAGAAACAGACGTGTGTAATTCAAAGTGACTTCTTGTGTCAACTGGACTGGGTTTTCTGTTGTTTTGATTAAAAGAGCAGAGTATCTAAACCTAACCCACTTTCTTACGAAGTAGGTGACCCTGTAAGATCACTTTAAACTAGGATTATCATGTTTTATGTTTCACAGGCATTGATGCCACACGTAGGCGGTGAGGGACAGTGAGAGGTTTGAAGGACTACACGACCACTACCTTCTGCTTTGCTGCAGCTAAAACTGATAGGGAAATCTTGCATGTTTTCATATTTGTGTCTTGTGCCATACAGTTGTAAACCAGCATATACAGGTTCCAACAGATTGAAACTGTTTTCTGCATAGCACCAACAAATAAGAGCAGCTTCTCTTTAACTGGATTCTATCAGTTATAATTATTCTCCATAATAAGTTACCAATTATTCATTTCCAGAATGTAGTCTGCAAAATGAAAAAGAAATCAATCTGTCTCTGTTGAACTGGACAGGTGAAATGAACATAAGAAAATAGGTTATTTAAGTACTGACCCCATAAGGTACTTAATGCTTAGAAGAGCACATGAAAATGGAAGAAGCCAGCCAACCAACCAATCTATCAGCCAATATAAGGATACTGCTGAGACCAAATTAAACCGCATAGCATTTCTATCAATTTCCGGGAAGATAAACTCAATTTATTTATTTATTTAGGTGGAGAGGGACAGCAAGGATGAGAGATACGGCTGGAATGGGAAGAGGATAAAAGGATGGCTTTACTTGGGCCCAAACATTATGTACCCATTAATGAAAAAGAACAGAACCCATAAAAACAACAAGCGGGCGTAATATGAAATTAGGAGCGAGAGTGCCTCTGCAAAAGGAGCCAGAACAAAGAACATTCTCTTCGTGTTCTAGCATCTGACCAGAAGTTGCATAAATAAGTGCTGTTTTTACAGAGTGCTCAGGAAAATGTGGAGCTGAGTAAAAATCAACAAACTTAGCTGTAAGGAGGAAGAGGCATGCAATTAGTTTTAATGACTTTCACATTTTAAAATATCATCTCTAAATAGAGATAATTTGTCACAACATGAAAACATGGTGCTAAATACAAAGGACAGCAGATTTGCAAACAACCTCGAGCTTTCTTTCAGATTGCATAATAGAAAGTAGAAAATAGTACAGAGTCCTCCCCTGTTTCAACTGAGTTTGACTTGGCAGGGCATTCTTTTTGTCTGGGAATGCTTTTACCATTAATTTAATTATTGACAATTTTTTGAGCACTCCCAGACACCCCCACACCGCCTGACCAAATAAGCTATCAAACCACACCAAATAAGAACATTCTACTTCTGGAGAGCGGGGAAATCTGTATGAATAATGAAATTAGATGATAAGGGCTAGAATACCAGTCCCATCACTTACTAGCTATGGTAAGTTGGGCAATTTATTTAGGTTACCCGAGCCTCAGTTTCCTCACCTGTAATATGGGAAACACAATAAACCATAGAGAGTTTAAGCAAGATAGCATCTGTTAACTATTATTAAAGTACACTTGCCAGGGTTTGGTAAATGGATCAGTATTTGTTATTATTTCTGGCTATGCTCCAACATAAAGATGAATCTGAGTAGTGATGAAAAAAACTTATTTCTCAGAATTGCCTTGCATGGCTCTGCCATCACAGACATTCTTTTATTTAATATAAGTAGATTCTGGGGCCAAAGGATATAACAGCAGGCAGTGCACTTGTCTTGCATGCTGCCCACCTAGAGTTGGATCTCGGTATTCCATATGGTCCCCCAAGGCTGCCAGGAGTGACCCCTGAGCAAAGCCAGGAGTAAGCTCTGATTACTGCCAGGTGTAAGGGGAAAAAAAAAGTAGATTCTTTCATTGCAAACAAAGTAGGTGGCAGTGCCTTGGCCAAATGTATGTTGCAGTTCAAAGCCTCTTCCATCCTTGTCAAGGGGAGTGCTAACCTTCTCTCCTTTCATACAACACTCATTGTAAATGGAAATGTAACAGGGAAGGAGTTTAACTGACTTTCCACAGGAATCAATAGATAAAAATAAATAAATAAATAAATAAAAAACCTCTAATTATCTGAATCCCAGCTCAACATATCTTTTCAAACAGAAAAGTCTCCAAACTGGAATACTTTTTTTTTTTTGCTTTTTTGGGTCACACCCAGCGATGCACAGGGGTTATTCCTGGCTCATGCACTCAGGAATTACTCCTGGCGGTGCTTGGGGGACCATGTGGGATGCTGGGAATCGAACCCGGGTCGGCTGCATGCAAGGCAAACACCCTACCCGCTGTGCTATCACTCCAGCCCCTGGAATACTTTATTTTTTGGGCACAGGAACCTAAGTTTGGTCTCTAGAACTCCAGGGCCCCCAGTGCACACTCAGGTGGTCCTGGCTCGTTCAGATCACGATGCCTGGACTGCTCATGGGATCCACCACCAGTAGGGCTAAATAGCACCACACTGTTCTGCCCAAAAATCAAATCATCCAGTCAACTGGCTGAATATCCTGGAGAGTGCCCCTCAACGTGATAAGCCAATGCTTGGGAGCAATGCTGGCTGGAAGGGGGGTGGAAGTAGCTCAGTCATGGAGTGCGCTCGCTCTCTCTCTCTCTCTCTCTCTCTCTCTCTCTCTCTCTCTCTCTCTCTCTCTCGCCCCCACCCTCTCTCCTTCTCCTTTCTCCTCTCTCTCTCTCTCTGCTTTATTTCATATCATCACTCTCTAAAGACAATTAGAATGTCCTTTGCTTTTGTCTATATAAAAAGATGTATTAAGAAAAACCATTTTTACTCTAGCTTTCAATATTTTTGTAAGATACAGAAAAATCGGGCTTATATAGTCCTTTATTTAATAAATGTGAAAACAACATGTTATTCTTTCTAATTGTGACCTAATCTAAGGACATTTCTGGTACACAATGCTCCCTATTTATATTTGGACTTCACTGAAACAGGCAATTTTCATTAGAAAATCCAAAAGAACACTCTGTATGGATTGCTGTAAGAGAACAGCAAAAATTATATAGAAAAACATCAATAGGAAGCTTACAGAGCTCTAAACAAAAAGTGAAAAAGCTCAAGCCAATAAAACTAAATACCTTAAAAATTGAATCTACACAGCTACAAATGCAATGCCACAAATGTGGATGGCACTGAAGCAGAGAATTCAATTCTCTATTTCCTTGAAGAAAAGGAACAGTACATGTACAATGACATAGAAATACTATAATATTTAGTTCCCGTAACAGCAAGCTATACCTAACACACTATATTTAGAAATACCAGAACAATTTTCAATTTTCAAGCACCCCAAAAGCTTTTATATAAAATAGTTCATCTAGAATTGCCTACTGCCTTGACAAATTAATTTCAGAAAGGTCAACTTACCAACTCAATGACTTCTACATTTCGAACTGATGGGTCAGGCGCCACCTCTGGCCAATTAGATAATTCCAGGTACCCCGTAGCTTTAGTGTTCAGAGTATGAGATAAAGTGCCAAGTTGGAAATGATCTCTATCTATTAAAATAAAAGAAAATATAAAATAAACAATATGAGCTGTATAGAACAGAGAACAACCCTAATCAGAACTCAAAGTAATTGGCATATTACTTCAAATGTCAAGGAATAAATATAAACCAGGAAGCTCTTCATAGGTCAAAAAACTGATTTCAGCCCATAGATTACAATAATCTCCCCCATAATGGTCAATAAAAAAGCTAATCAGTCAGTGTGTTTAGAGGTGTTGCTCTGAAATGTAGCTTCTCTAAAAATTACTTTACTGTGAATATTAAGAATGACAGCACAGTTAAACAATCCATATACATGTCTTGGCATAACACATCCAGAATTTTAATAGTTTTCCTACAAAACTGAACTGCTATTGCTGTGTAACAATTAAATAAGGAACAATATAAAAAAAATAGGGCATACGATCATTAGACTCCTTCTGTAAAGGCTGCTTGCTAAATTGATAAAAATAATTACTTCTTTAAAAATGCTGTGGAAATTTTGTTAATTTCCACCTCTGAAAAAGAGTTTTAAATTTAAAGGGTTATTTTTATGAAATAATTCTTCCTCAAAAAGTCTGTAAGTGTAGAGTACATATAATAAACAGCAAATCACTATTAAGGCCAATTATAATTTTTAAGAAATGAAACTATTTAAAATAGAAAGGTCAACAACTATAAAAACATAGCCTTTATTTACCGTTCAGCTAAGCTGTTTGGTAGGTATAAAAATAAAGTAAAAAAATTGGAATTATTTAGGTAAATATGGTCCATAAATACAACTAATATAAAGTCTGCCCTGGAGAACAAATAAATGAGTAGAAAATACATTGTTCTTATATATTTATATCTACTAATTTGTATTTTCTGAGATAAATTTTTCAAATATTACAAATGGAATAAACTGCCATGAATCTTTTAGATAACATATTTTTCAGCCAGAGTCTGATAATACCTTTAAAAGGAGATTCAAGCAGCGGTGCAGGTTTCTGAGCCAGGAATATTTTTTTGGCATATTTACTTAAAGCTCCGCTCTTCTCATTCGGAACAATAAGCTGCCTAATAAATCTTGTACGGTCTCTGATGTCGTAGTTTTGATCATACTTGCCGAGATTTAATATGTACTGGGTAAGCAATTTTGTCTGTTGGAAAAAAAACAGAACAAGATGAGAATACAGTTATTTATGATTATTGATAACTCTGGATAAACATATTTAAAGAGGTAATAAAAATGAATGGTTATGTCAAACAAATGTTGTTCCATAGGGAATATGCATTCCTAACGCTGCAAATGGAATTCTGAAGCCAAAGTACATGTCCTCTTCAGTACTGGGGAGGTGAATGCTGAGTACTGAGAAGCAGCCATGTGCTAGATTATTAAACTGCTGAAGTGGAAAGAAAGGCATCATTAAAAAAATAATCATATATGGCAAACCCGCTGAAGGGTCTACGTGAGAATAATGAATGTGGAAATACAACTAAAAACATGGCACTCAAAACTTAATCGGAAAAATATGCAGGACATCAAAACATCAGAGAGTATTAGGAGGCTGGCAAACTGCTTCTCCTGAGGTGTGTTTTATGAAGAGATACTGTCCCTGGCATAAGCAGTGCCTGCACTCTGACTGCACTCAGTTACTTTACCCTGAATTATGACCCATTAAAGCAGACACATGAATCACTGAACTGGATTACTGCAAATTATTTGCAGTGCATTTAGCTGTTACTTTTTCATAAAAGCAAGCTGCTGATGCCCTCTAAAAACTAGGATAAAAGACTCCTTCCATTTTTTCCCCAAGCTGCTTATAGCCTCGGGTAATATTGGTCATTTATTTATTTGTGTAAGGGAACAACTTATTATAGTAGCTTTTATACTGTAATAAGATTTTCTAAGTCAATTTTTACACGTACTACATTAACATATATTGAGATAATTTCAATAATTAAACCAAAATTTAAATTTTTTTTAGGTTTGTATTTTTTAACTCTGGTTGTTTTGCTGGACAAACCACAGTTTTAATTTGTAAGGTTCCACATATACAATTATAACTATTAAGAAGGATTCATAATATATGGGAAAGATAGACATCATATTAGAACATCTTTACAGATATTATACATGGATTTTTAAAAATCTATGAGAAAAAGAAGTAACAGGGGAGCAAGGGTTAGGCACCGTGAGTATACTGGTAATGTGGGGAAGTGGTACGACTATATGTCCGAACCACAGACTCACCTACACTGAACACACAAGATCTCACAACCAATGAACACACAAGATCTCACAACCAATGAACTTTATAATATGCCTGTTAGGGAGGCAGGCTGGGGCCAGAGCCTTGGAACACAGGCTGGGGTAAGCGGATACTGGTGATCAGGATTGCTAGAACATTATGTGCCTAAAATTTGACTATCCGTAATTTTGTAAATCATGGTTCTTTAAGTAAAAAAAAATTAGAAAACTAATCAAATCTATCAAGTCAGACACAGCTAAAAATTATTCTGAATAATAAAAGCACAAAAGTGGTTCGATGGTAAATTTTTTTATAATATTAAGAACTGATCTGAATATAGAACAAACTTCTTTTAGTAACAATATATTTTAAATTTAAATTTCAGTCTCCTGCCCCAAAGCATGGCTGTCTTAACCGGGGCCCCTCTGAGGAGGGCAGTTTCCCTCCCTGCCCCGAACACAGTCCTGGCAGCCGAAGACCTCTGGAACCCAGGTACAGCCATGCTCAAGGCCACTCTCCACAAACTTGGACGAGCCTCACTCATGAAGGAACCGGCAGAGGAACCCAGGTGGTCCCGCATGGGTCCCGGAGCTGAGATCTCCAAGCCTGCTGGGATCGGGACTGGGCCTCCTCCACCCAGATCCCCCATTCTCCAGTAGCTAGGCAGTCACACCCACAAACTGCCCCCAGTGCCATGTAATCCCATCAATGACCAAGATCCAGACACTATCAAAACAAAGCTCCCAGAAGCTAGAACTAGATCTTTTAGAGTCTAGTTCTCCTTCTCCGAGAAACCCACACGCTACCAAGAGTATCCTGCCCCCATAGCAGAGCCTGGCAAGCTCCTTGTGGTATATTCAATATGCCAAAAATAGGAACAATAATGGGTCTCATTCCCCTGACCCTGAAAGAGCCTCCAATGCAGCACCATTGGAAAGGACAAGTAAAGAGAGGCTACTAAAATCTCAGGGCTAGGATGAATGGAGACGTTACTGGAACCTGTTCCAGCAAACAGATGAACAACGGGATGACAGTGATACAGTGATATTTTAAACATGCTAAGCTTAGTATTAATAACGTACAACTATAACAAATACCAGTGAAAAAAGTCTTGGGGATTTTTGGAGTGTCTTGCTGCCACATCCAGCAGTGGTTAGGGGTGTCCTAGTTAGGGGCTCAAGGGTTATCCCTCTCACCAGCTTGGGAAAACAGGCAGTGCCAAGGGTCACACCCA